CCCTAATTTAGACCAAGGGATGTGCTTTCTCCAGAGAATGCCTGAACCAAGGTTAAGGTCCTGCTGGCATTGCCACAGACAGGAGCGTGAGTGGGACATGAACAGCACTTACATCTGCTTTAGGGTCATGCAGAGCGACTGCAATGGCACCAACTGAGCCCTTTTGCTGGGTCGTGAGTAGGTGGCTCAAGCCCCCTTCATAGTGCGGGCAATGGCACTGGCGACTTTGTGGCCACACTTCTCTCTGCTGTGTGAAAGCATCATAACCGGTGTGATCCTGGCAAACATTACGGGCTAAGACCTGGAACGCCCAGGTCAAATTCAGACATGGGGCAAGCCCAGGGATGATGAACTATTGTTATTACATTATATTTCTTCTAAGCCCATCATTACTTATGGTACTCTCTTGTCTCACACTAACCTAGTTCCTCTCATTCCTGCAGGTTTACACTTAAAATTTAGTTAACAGTTATTATGTCATCTTACTCCCTAAGTGTTGGTTAGCAAACTCTATGCTGTCAGCTCTTTGCACTTTTTCTCATCAGCCGGTTCTTCCAAGCAGATAGATACAGTTGGCTCTTCTTCTCTGAACTTCCTCCAGCCTGTCTTCCTGGTAGTGAAGTGCAGAGAACTGTGCTCACCTTTTCCCGATGCTATCGCCTGTCAGTTCCAAGAAGAAAGGCTCGCTCACTCTTTCCCTGTGGTGTGTCTCCACAAGAGCCCCAAATCATCTTGACATTTTTAACCATCGCATCACCTAGCAATTTCAGATGGAAATTTGGAGCCCCTCCTTGCCCAGTGCAGCAGCCAGCACATCTTTTCCTCCCTAAGAAAAAAGGAAGACGGTGGACTTTGTCTTTCTAACAAACGTTGACATTTTTGTAGGGAGCTCAGATTGTTTTCTAACTCTTCATGCTAATCAGGTAAACTGTCTTATTTATGACAGGGAGAGGAATGATAGGAAGTACTAACTAACCTCATACTGGTGGTCAGAGTAAAGCAAAAACAAAACTGATTTCCAGTTCTCTCCGCTGAGACTGATTTTCCACTGTCATTCCACATTATCTTCCCATTTAAGTCTGCCCATGCAATTCTGTCGTGCATCCTGTAATTCTGTTTTAGTAGGTTTAAAACAAACAAAAGGAAGTACTTTTTCACACAGAGCATAATTAAATTGTGGAACTTGTTGCCATGGGAAGAGCTGGATGCCAAAAGTACAAATGGGTTCAGAAAAGGAGAAGACAAATTAATGAAGGATATGTACATTGATGAGTATTAAACATAGTAGCTTGCTTACAACATTTAGCTCAGGAAGCTCTTACACTGCTGTTTGATGAAGCCAGGAAAGAATTTCCCTGTCTGTGCCTGTTTCTCACACAGTTCCCCTCAAAATCCCCTCCCCTGGTCACTGGCAGGAAGAAGACATTGGAGTTAATGGTCTCTTAGTAGAGCAGCTCTAATGTTTCTCTCCTAACGAGAGACACAGATGTCAATAGATGCCTGTAAGTTTAAAAAATTAATCTTTAAGCTGAAAATTTACTCTGACACTTCTCAGTTCCTTTTTGGATATTTTAATCATATCTGATCCAGTTGACATTTATCTGTGAAGTTTACAGCAAAGTGCATGACTGAAATGGGAAATTTTAAGGCTTCAGGGCTACTAGGTTTGCTGGCCCAGCCCAAAGTTTGATTTTGCAGATCTTACAGGTTGGATCAACTTCACTGGGGACTAATGTTAAGAGGAAGCCTCTTATCAGTGCTGTGAAAGTTGTATCTGTTCTTGGAGCTCACTCCCCCTCCCTGAACAAACGCTCCCACTGGCCAACGTGGTGCCATCTCTTCTTGTTGGCTTTCCTCCATAATTGCTGGTTTATCAGGCTCTCCTCAGACTTCTCAATTTGTCTTGACTGACAGGCTAAATGAGCAGAGCCGTACACGCTCACATAGAGTCAGAAAGGAGAGGATGACAGGCTGGCGAGGTGAGGAGTGAGCCCTGGCTCTGTGGCCACTGCTCTCAGCTGGCCAGAGTCTCACTCCACAGGCTGCACCAGTTGCTCCAGTCAGAGAGGGAGGGAAAACTGGCCCATAATTCTGATAGCATCACAAGTTGCTTTCATTTCTTGTTCTGTGTATTTGGCTCCAAAACATGTAGTCTGATTTCATCTGTATTGCTTTGTCACTGAGGTTTCTTTCTGCATCATTCAGAATGACAGAATTTAGTTTTGGTCACAGCTGTTTCCCCATGTCTGCAGTAGCTCAGATCATGTGCTAACTGCAATAGTTACTGCAGACAAATTCACTCAGGCAAGGTAATGAAAAGAATCAAGCGATCTATTTCTATTGAGGAGAAAGCTGCAAATGTTTATCTACATTATATTGTTAAAATGCATGCAGTTAAAAACTAGAAAACAGTCTGTGTTGGCTAAGGGCCTGCCTCACCAGGAAGGTAATAGCAATACAAGAGAATTGAATTCAGAGGCTTAATTTTCTCTTTGTCACCAGAAGAGTACAGCATGTTTCTCTGGAGTTTTAAGAATTTTTCAGATCCTTTGGTTGCAGGAGGGAGGTCAGACTGCACAATCTGACCAAATTAGCCATCTGCTACCCACCCTAGCTCCATCACACAGTACTTTAGCTTATAACATCTCAGTGTTATTAAATTTCCTTAATGTTGCTATAGTTCCTCGTCTTCAATGATGGCAGACTCCATGGAAAGAAAGCTTACATTTAATTCAAGCATTAGGAACAGAACTGGTTGTCTTTTTTCAACTGAGTGCTGCTGGGATGGAGAACATGAACTCCCGGGGGTGGATCCAGCAGTGACTACAGTAGCACACTGCTGCCAGACAGGGGAGAGAGGAGACCATGGTCTGGCAACTCTGGACTGGACACCTACCTCTGTCATGGCATGCTGCTGCTGGAGCTCAAGGCACTGAATCCATGCCTGTCTACGCCTGTTCACCTGCTCCCGAGACAGGTCTTTTAGACTAAATTTTTCTACAAGTGTGATCCGTATAGTGCCCTGTTCAGTATATGTTGGCAGGGAGCTCTTGGAATGTCCATAATTTAAATACTAATGACACAAAAGCAGTGATTCAAATATTTCAAGTCATAGTCCTGAAAGGAGCTATCAAAGGCCACTTTATTAGCCCTGTTTCATTAACAAGATGCCCCTATGAAAAACTATGATCAAGCTTTTTTTCCTGTCAATCAGTTATTAACACACCAGTCTTCAGTTTTTCTAGTGCCAATTATTCTTGTCTCTACAGACTGAGGTGCACTACTCATGATGAAGAATATTCCCTAGAAATAAAAGGTTAAAATAAACAGCCAACCCAAGCCCAAAGGCAAAGAGCTAGTGCTGGACACTAGGCAAGATAATCAGGGAATAACTAACATAGATAATCAGCAAATCATTTAAATTAATTGATTTGGCTCTGGCTGGCGTCCTCGTTTCTGCCTGAAAGCTTCAGTGAAATCCAAATAAGTGGCAGTTATCTTACTGTCTCTTCCTGTTATCTGACTCTAATGACAGCAGGGAAGAGAGGGGGAAATCATGTCTTTGAACAGGATCATGGCCTTTCATTTAAAGTAAATACTACAGCAACGTGGAAACTGCCTGAAGAATGAGTCTGCCATGGTTTACTCCTGAGCAGATTAAGTAATGTATTAAAACCAGACCCTATCAGATTCTTGCAATGGCTTCAGCACCTTCACTCCAGATACACAGAGAATCAGAAAGTGCTATTTATAATGACCTGAAGACAGCTAACAGTACAGTGTGAGGTAGTTGTGCAGAGCAAAAATTCAGCCAAGGCATCTGTATTTTATGTTACAATAAATGTCCTTAACATTAAAAAAAAACACAATAGGAAAATTCATAGGGAGTGAGGCTTATCCCAGATTCATTTGTGCACTTGTAGCATCCAAAATCATTACCTCCTTAGGTTCCCATGTAGTTGATAGAGAGAAAGAAGCAGGGCACCTAGCAATGAATCACTCTCCAGAGGTCCCATCTATCTCCCCTGACTTTGGAAGGAGCAGGGCACAAGAGGATTCTCACTTAAGTACCTCCATTTAGGTGCCTGAACAAACCTACCTAGGGTGAACCCAGACCATGCTTTGCTTTGGGAGAAAAACCTAGGGCCAAGAGTTGCCTTGGGCACAAGATGATAATCTCCACCTAAGCTTGACCTGGACTTCTGAGCTCCATCAAAACCAACTGTGGCTGCTGAAGAGGTGGTAAGGGCTGAAAGCCCATCTTCTGTCGCACTGAGCCCCAGCTGGGTTTGAGATTGGGCTCCTCCGCACACAAACTGCAAGTGGAAATAATTGCAGCTCCATGAATATGACAAGATCCAAACTGGGGTGGCATAGGGAGATACATGGGCTATGCGTTGACAGCAACTTATGTTGGCAGGGCAGGTAGGCAGCAGTGGCAGTCAGCCCTCAAAGCATGACTCAAAGCATGCCAGCACACACGTGTTAGCACCCTTTTCGCTTTCCCTCAGAGCTTCTGAGCAGATTGTTGTGGCTGTTCATACAGCAGGAATGCCACAGAGACGTGGAAGACCCATACTCACCCTTGGAGGAAGCAGTGCAGAGCTCGGGTCAGATCATCAGGAGTGTCCACACAAGAACAAAGCAGCATCAAAAATACAGTGGGCACAAAGTGTTTTATAGCTGTTCTGTTAGAGAAAGTTTCACCAGTAACAATGTCATAGGACAACTGGCCATCAATTTAAGTTACAAAGAATTTCAGTGCTTTTTTGCTCTGGGCACTAAGCTGATTTGCCGTGTTATAAACCGAGCATAACAGACATGCTGGGTTGGCATCCATGTTGCAGCCCAGCAACCAGCAACCTGGCATCTCTGGTAAGCTGTACTTCTTATGATGAGCTGCTCATTTCCTCTGTACTCCACCATCTAACTAACCTTTCTTTCCACAGGCTGCAAAACCATGAAAGAACTAATTACAATTAGCTCTAATAATACAGAGATCCTGCAGCCAAGTGTATTTAATTAAAGAACCAAAACATCAAATATTCAGTCTTACACCACAGTTTAAAACAGTCTTCCAGAAGTACTCCCTCTTTCACGATTGGTCCAAAACACCAAATAAGCAACGACAAGTTACAAGCCTGTAAAAAACAAAAATTAATATTACAGTAAAAATATATTATGAGAGCTCTGATAGAATTACTTTTGTACTGGATAGTTCACATGTTGCCAAAGCTCGGGAATGCACTAGGTTTGAAGATGCTACTTTAGGTGCTTTTCCAAAGTCTTTATCATTTGCTGTATTCCTCCAGATTTTCAAAAGATTGTACCCAAATGGATGGAGATATATGTATATATAATAAAAACAATACAATTTAAAAAGATTAAATAAGTTCTAAGTACTCAATTTTTACAAGGTGAAAATTAACTTCCTTAATAATTACTCCTTTTAATACTTAAACTCCCCTCAGTCAGATTTTATTGCAGAACCAACATTTTTCAACATACTATTCTGAATAATTTAATGACAAATCTGAGAAATAACAGGACAAAACTTCATTGCATCAAACATTTACACTTACTGCTTTATTTTTTGTTTTACTTCTTTAACTGTAAAAATGTTTTGATCCTGTTTTATTGAAAGAAAATAAACTGAAAGTGAGGCTTCAACCCAAGCAGTTTTTCACAGCAATAGGTATAAACTCTGGAAAATAAAATGTAGACGAAAAATGTTCAGGGACTAATAAATGTAATGGAAAGAAAGCACCTATCACTTAACTGAACTTTCGCTGCCAAAGCAGTTCTGTGTTTGCTATTCACAGGTACCAACATTTATGATAGTAACCTTTCTAAAGTCAATTTAATTATCTTTATCTTATTACAAATAATAAATTTAGTTGTCCGACAATGAAAATCAATTGTCAACATAAGCTATGGTTAACATCTAATAAAACAGCCCTCTGTAAATCCATGATTAATAAGATTGGCTTCTGTATTAACTAACAGACATCATAAAATTTCCTTCCTTGCATTAATCTGTATATTCAAGGTTCATCCTGCTGGACTATGTTTCCTAAAATAAACTGGTAGTGAATAAGCAAAATTTTGGCACTTATCATTATTATGTTATAACCATTTGAATATGTGTCTACAGCTGAATGGTTTTGAAATTAATGTAATATTTTAATTAGGTCATAGAGGATGGTATAACAAATTACAAGTGAATCATTTTGTTTCCTTTAGCTTTTGAACATAATGCCACTTATGTTTTGGTTTGAGTGTTAGAGGATGCTAATTGAAATGTAAAAAAAAAATCTCCCCAAACAGTCTTTACATATGACAGAGACTACTTAAGTTTTTCTGTGTCAAAAACAAAACAAAAATTGGAATTCACTCTCTCAGAAACATGTTTACAAGTTTCTACTTCCAAAGTGGGAGTAGCGGTGCTCAGATTCAGCATGAAGCTATGTTCCAGAAGGCAGGGGCTATCTGTGCCATCCTTTGGAGGTTTGAAAGGTTCCTCTTCCTGTGACACACACTATGCCTACGGACATTGGCATGATACGATGGCCACTACAATCAGTGCTAGCTTCAACTGACACAGTCTAGTCTTTTAACAGTACAACAGTAGTATCATACCTATCCTGAAAGATCCCAAAGTCATTTTACAGAGTCAGGGAAGTTAGGTACACTTGAAGTTCCTGTCAAAGAACATACAGATTTAGGGTTGAAAACAACTTCCAGGCTTGCCTAGAGAAACCTTTCTAAATACCATGAAATCTTTTGGCCACAGAGACCAAACAGGGCATTAGATTTTTTGTTTGTTTTTAAGCATCGTTAACAACTCTGTACTGTGGAGAACAGAGAATCTGATCCTTCACCTTTATTAACTGATACTAAAGTGACTGTAGCAGAATTAGCCCCATGTAAGACTGGACTTGTGCAGTGGGGAAATTGGTCCTCTGAAGAACATAATTCATTCTTAGTACTCGAATCACTGGGGAGGAAGAAAAGGATCTTGCCATGTATTTAACCTGTATGGTTTACTATTTGTCATAAATGCTAAAAGAGCACACTTTCTTTCCTGCTAATTGTTATTTTCCACTTTGCAAAACTTGTGTGTTAGTTAGGCAGAAAAAGAAGATATTTTAAAAAAATACCTTCTGCCAATGAAAATACCATTCCTTATCACATAAAAAAAAATCTTCACATAGTAGCTTCTGTGCTCTGGACATTGTCAGAATAAAATTATAGTCAAAACTATATTTATGTTATCGACAACTGTAGATCATTACATCTGGAAAGATCTGAAAAAATCTAACATATTTATGTCATATTTCTGTTTATTCATTCTTACATTTTGGTAATTTTTAATAAAGAAAATGCACCGGTCAAAAGTTTTAGCCATGTGCTTCATTATTTGAAATACAATGTTTAGGTTATGAACAGACTAAGAGTCGCAAAGTAAAACTAAGAAGTCAAGGGAACATAGGTTTAATATTTTGGGGAAAAAAAAACAAAAACCAAAACAAACAACAAAAAAAAAAAAAAAAAAAAAAACAAACCAAAACCAAAAAACCAATCCAGTCAAGCTCCACTGTTTTACAAAATTAAAACTTTGTGCCACCTAAAAACTGACAGTCTCCTCAAAATTTTAGAAACCTGGAAATAGGGAACAATTTTCAGACCTCATGTAAAAACGTCAGCTTGTTTCTAACTTCTTCCCTGATGAGACTGCTGGATCAAGCATTTACTCCTTTTTATCTGTCTAAAGAGCACTTGTGTAGCTATAATGTGTCCTTTTTTTAGTAGCTTGACCTTTTACTAAAGAACCAAAGATGATTTTAGAAGTATTCTGAACATAGAGATTTAAACATTCACTTTGCTGCACTGTGTATAGCAATGCTGCTGTGGATTGAATTTGTATTCAACCTACAAGAACAGCCTACTTTGCTAGGTGGTCTACATCTCACATATAATACTATGTCACTTACAGTCTACTAATGCAAAGCCTAGCATGATTTATTGTTACTTAACTTTATAAAGTAACTGTGTGGGTGGGCATGCAGTTTATAGAACATTGCCCTCTACCATAAAAAGTAGTTTCAAATGAGGAAAGAAAAAAATAATAGTCAAATGGTTGTAAACACTTGTTCAAAAAGTATATATTTACCAACTATATATTTTAAAATTTATTTGTTTTTTTTTTTTTTTTTTTCCTGTTTTTAATGCTCTGGAATGTTAGAACTATTTATTTTTCCTCTTCTATCTCTTTTTGATAGAAAAGGAATGTTAAACTTTATTTTTCCAGTTTCTTCTAGCATTTTTTTTATCACCTCAAAGAGTTACAGGCTTCCTCGTTCCCTGTACCCACATTTAACAGATGATTGCAATGGTGACTAACACCTGCCAGAAAAAAGAAAGGCAGAGCCTAGCAACTACACACCTTCTCCTCACTCCCCTCTAGCCCCACACAATTGCTTTTGATACCCAAAATAAAACCAGCCATCAATAGCAGCTAGTCAGTTTAAGTCTTCTTTCCTCTCTTCAAATAAAAGATTGCATCCCCCAACAACTTTGATGCAGCAAGTGCCACAGCTCCCTGATTTCCAGGAGGAAGCAGGAAGTTTCCTTTCCTCCACTTTCTCCTGACAGATCATTTTTCACTTGAAAAGCAAGCTGGTGGCTCTAATTATCTGTACTTCCAATGGCCCTCTTTCTGTTCTCTTTGCAGTCCCCCTTTACCTGCATTTAAACTCATTTTTCCTCATTTAATTTCCCCACATCACATTCATCTTACCTGTTTTTTTTTTTTGTTAAATCAAGATGTACCCTACTTGGCCACTAATCCAGAACCTGAAAAAAACCTCATCAGGTTAATTAGAACACAGCTATATACTACAGCCTCAGTCACCACAACCTTCCCTCATGCTCAGATGGACTAATTCAGTCAGGGTATGACCTTGTTATTTATTCTGTAGAAATAGCTTCCTACTTTTCTTATAAAGGACGCCTTATAAGAAGACAAATTCAAATGACCACATGAGCTAGCCTGGACCATGATACTTCTTCCCTCTAGGTTAGACCTGCAAACCCAATGACCTTGTATAAGAAACAACTGACGCTTTGTTTTTCTTACCCTCCTTTTTTTTTTCCCTATCATATATCAGAAAATATATATAAAAAAAAAAAAAAAAAAAGGTGTTGCCTTCTACTTCAGGCAATGCCCATGTGGTAGGGAAACCAGAGCGCAGGTCAGGACAAAAATTTAGTTACTAAGAGCGTCTATTAGCCCTGCAGCGAAGCTCAAGACAGAGGTTGGATCACCTTTTTCCAAAATGTGGCTCTCCATAAAACAACCCCTCACCCAAACTTGAATACAGAATTATCCTTGCAGAAGCATAAATTTGAGATTAGTTTTTTAAACTTGTTCTTTTAACAGATGCTTGACAAAAAGCTTGGCAAAATGCTTATTTCTAAGTCCTGGTTAGTGGCCAGTACTTGAGCTTTGGAGTAACACTTTAGCGTTAGAGCCATCTAGTGGGAGAAGAGAAAGGGAGAAAGAAGCCAAGTCAGGTTCTGCACCTGGATTTGTCATCCTATTCAGCTTTCTGGTGTGACCTCCAGACACCAAGGCCAGTAAAACAATGATCTGCCATACCAGTATTGCAAACAAAAGAGAACATGACTCTGAGGGGTACTTTAGACAAAGAGAGAGCATACAAGCAATCCATGAAACTCATACATAACTCTCAGTTACCAGGAAAGGAGCCTCTGCCTGGTACCTGGTAGGGGAGACAGTTTCAAAAACAATAAAGCCAGGAAGTACAGATTCTGGTGTGATTTTATGGATGCAACCCTCCTCGGGTACTGGCTGCTCCAGTTTGTTCATACTGATCCTGTGAACTGCATGTGGGAAATCAAGTAGTAAGGTGAAAGACAGACTTGCACAAGCCTCTCCCACTTGGCTTAGGCCATTCCAATACAGCTATAGGATCAACACTTCTGGCTGAATTGTAGTTATACACCAAACACTTTCTGAAGGAGACAGTCCTGCAGCTTCCAGTGCTAAGTCCCTTACAACAGTAGAAACATTTGGTATATAAGCTAGGTACCAAGATATCATAACACCCCCCCAAAAAATTAAAAACAAAACAAAACAAAACCCCCCCCATATTTGTGTTTCTTATTAATTTGAAAGGGAACTAATGCTTTCCTTCCTCCTATCAGGTTGTTAAGAAAAAGCAATTAAGCCTTGCCAACAGAGGCATGAGAGAGAGAATAAATAAGAGGTAAGATAGTGTTTCAGACAAACACAACTATGTTCTATCTCATGCTAGAGTTCAGAGCATCAGTTCAAAGGCATTCTTCAAACTACATTTGTCCATCTCTAGCAGCAGGACTGCAATGTGCTGTCTGAATTGTGTCCAAAGTGTATCTAGTTGGCACACTTGCTCAAAGATAAACAGATCTATGAAATACTCATTTGAAGAAAGATCAACCTAAGCCTGCAAGCAAGATATAGAAAAATGGACAATCTCTTAAATCATGTTTTTCAAATTAGCCAATAGTGCTTCAATGTAAATTAAGGCTGCCTTCCAAATGCATTCCCCAGTCCCATCATAATACTATTAATCTACTTTTTTTGTACATTACAGCCTGATGTTTTCTTCAAATTCTCAGGTAAGCCGCATGAAGAGAGCAGCTGGTCAAATTACTGGCTACTGTCAATTACTGGAAATTTACTGTTACTATACAACATAGGAGCTGCATTTGTAACTGTGTTTGCATGTTTCAATGTTACATATCTACACTGTAAAAGAAATGCTATCAATTTACAATACATAAGCTATGGCTGACAACATCATATCCAAGCCAACACATCACAGCTGCAGGTTAAGAAGATAAGAACAGTGGGATTCAAAACAAATGAAACAAAAAACCCCACAAACCCAGCAATAAGACTAGCTTTCCTATACTGAAGAGGCGCTGAAATAAAGCTATAGTCTATTATGAAACAAGGGAGGGAACCATCCTTTTTTAACAGCACAAGGCTTATGACAGAGCTGCTAATGTTTTAGCTAAATCAAATCTGGTAATAAAAGATGAGTCATGTAAGCATGTTTTAGTCTGAGGGACAGGCTTATACATTTGTTTTCCATGTATCAATGATTTATTTGAAGTATCCCAGTTAAAAACGAGCTATCAACTTTGTAGAAACATGAATCAGACTAAAAAGCAGGTATAAAACCAGAACACTTATTTACAGATAACTCAAAAACCCTGTAGCTGATAATGCCAATAAAACATTTTTCCATATCCCCTTCCGCTCTAAGTCTACTGAGAAACAGAAAAGGATCTCCTGCTTGACAACATAAAAGTCTATTTAACATACAGCACCATAATCCACGTTCTTTTAAAAAAAGTTTTTCAATACTTTGCAAGATACAGAATATAAAAATAGGACAAAGGCAGGACATCTGGCAAGCCAATCTTCTGATCCAACTTTGCATCATTATATCACTGTATAGAGACTGAGAATAACCAAAGAAAGTTATGGCACCGTAGACAATTAGACATGAGTATTTCAAAACAGGGACCTGCAGTGGATATATCTTAGTTCAGTGATCTTAAAGGAGGCTTAGATTTGGGAAGAAACTGTTCTGTCATATCCTCTATTTTGTTCTTCTCCACCGTAGCTGCAGATTTGTTCTCTTTATCCTTTTTGTGACTCCTTTTGTGCTGGGATTTAAAGAAAATGCCCAATGTTAAGAGAATACAAATAAATTAAAGACTACTTGCTCATGTAGAATGCAGTATATAGTCTTCTGAGAAAATAAGTTGGTAGAACTCCTGAAAAAGGTTCCTAATGCATTTACTAGATGTAGACATCTTGAAGTTCAGCAGCTACTTTTAAGGGGGATCCATGACAAGTAAATACACCCCCCAGCAACCAAGATTAATACACTAGGGGTTTACACCGATACATAATATCCTGGGTTGAGTGAGCGGTGGAGTTTTCTGGTGGCAGGGGAGGGGGCTATCAGGGCGGCCCCCTGTGAGAAGCTTCTCAAAGCTCCCCCAGCTCCACGTCAGCTCCACTTCTGTTTGGGAAATTGAGCCAATCAGCTGTGCCTCTGCGATAACGTATTTAAGAAGGGACGTGGTGACGGGCAGTCGGACTTGTGAGGAGGAGTTGCTGCAGCTGCATGAACACCAAGGTCAGTGGAGGAACGGAGGAAGAAAGGAGGGGGGAGGTGTGCCGGAGCAGAGACCCCCCTGTATCCTGTGGTGAGACGGCAGGGTGGCCCCCCCAGCCACCCATGAAGATCTACGGTGGAGCAGACATTGATTTATGGCCTGTTGCTCCTGCTCACCTGATCAAGGTTCTGTGCCTGAAGAAGGCCGGGGTCTCGTGGGAAAAGGTAGCCCCGCTGCTGTAATTCAGTGCTGGGGGGATTGCAGCATGCGGGGGAGTCCCACGCCGGAGCAGCCCGGGAAGGGCTGCAGCCGTGGGAGAAAATCCAGTCAGAGAAAGTTAGTGACCCATGATGGAGCAGTGTGGGGAACGCTGCGGCCCATGGGAAGAACTCATATTGGAGAAAATTTGTGGAGGACTGTCTCCTGTGAGAGGGGGACCACGATGGAGCAGGAGGAACAAGTTCCGGACACTCCCCTCACCGAAGATAAGCGAAGCGGCAGCGCTGACTGCACCCCCCATTCCCTGCCCCTGCGCCACTGGGGGAGGAGGTAGAGATATCGGGAGCAGAGCTGAGCCCAGGAAGAAGGGAGGGGTGGGGTGAAGGTGTTCTCAAGATGTGGCAATGCTTCTCACTGTCCTACTCTGTTATGTGTTGTTAGTGTCTGTAATAAATGTATGTTCTATTTTTTCTTCCCCTAACGAGTCTGCCTCTTGCTCGTGATCATAAAGGGGAATTTTTCCCCATCCCAGTCCTATCTCGGACCCCAAGCCTGGCTCTCTGTCCCTTCTCATTGCCGGAGGGGAAGGGAGAGAGAGCTGCTGCATTGTGGTTGGCTGCCAACCAGGCCTAAACCACAACAGTTTTTGGCGCCCAACGTGGGGCAGAGGGTTGCGATTTGATAAGGATATTAATTGGGAGAGGTAATGAGCAAAATACAGACTGAACTCCGTTAGTGGAATGATCTTTATCATGTCTGTAGTTGTAATTGTGGGGAAGTTTTTTTCCAGGTGTGGTGAAGGGACTATGGGTGGACGTTCTGTATTGTGTCTCAGTATTTTGTCAGTTATGTTTTATTTGGGTGTGGGGAAGTTCCTTTCAGTCTGGTTTTGCCTTCTCTTTGTTCTGATGTTGATGTGTATACTGTTTTCTGTACTGAATGTTGGTTCTCTTAATTCTTAAATACGTGATTCGCAGAGGCGAGGGGTGAAACCACATTGGTAGAGCAAAACGGTCAAGAGAGGAAGTAAGTAAAAAAAAAATCATTGAAGAATCAAGAATGCTAATATTTCTGCTTGGCCTCTAGGAAAATACACCACATTTAATTTCAACTTTTCCCTTAAAACACATGTGTTTAGTAAATTATGACAAGGTTTTTTTTTCACGCAGGGTTATTTGCTAAGGAGCTTTCTACTGTCTGTCTAGCTTGTCAGAAGTTTGCTTTATTTTATCTGCTGTTAACTGTTATTTGAATCTGCTGTTATTTTAGCTCAAGTGTAACAAAGCATGTTCTACAGGATTTAAAGAAGTTGAGACTACACTAAATGACAGTAAGTGACTTTAGACTACAGCACTACTATGGAACAATCCTTCTCCCTCACTCTTAAATACACAGGTGTTTGGAATATCTGTGGAAGTTACCTGGAAAAAGGGAATGCCACCGTTTGCGTGGCAGCATATACTTGTATCCACTAAGGATTTGTTGCTAGCAAGGCTTTCAATGGATTCTTGCAACCCTTCTCCCTCTTCCAACAGGTCCTAAAATGGAAGTTTTCAGAAAAGTGTATTTAATGTCTGAATTTCCTAGGTGAATGTACTGAGCATGATCAGATCTAAGACACAGCACATTCATTTTTAAAAAAAGAAATTAAAGTCTCTAAATTACTAATGCCTTCTTTTTCAAAATACTGTTTTTGTCAAAAGCTCAGTAAACATGACTCCAAGTACCCTGTAAAACACAAAGGCTGCAATAACTCTGGAGTTCTAGTCAACTCTCCACACGGCATGAAAAAAACTCCTAAAGATGTGAAATATTCATTGAAGAGCCTCATTTGCCATTCATACACATACCTGATCTGCACTGTCCTCCACCTCCTTTATCATGCTGTTTAGCACAGCATCAGGCTTTGGTTGTGTTTGCCTTAACTGCTCCAGCAGAAGTTTCCGGGGTTCTGTTCTCACAAGTGTGACTGGATAGAAGTAGTCTCTTCTCTGTGGAGTTGTACCTTTAACGAATATTATACACTAATGAAAGGTACTATTAAACACTGAGCATTTTCTTTATTACAGATCCTCAGTTTTACATTAGCTCAATACAGAAATCATGCTTTGTTCAGTCATCGTTCTCTGCATGCACCTTAAAAAAGGTGTAAGGCTGCTAGTTATATTACATCCCCATTAGCCTTCACTTACAAATTCTGCCACTCAAATTGCTTTCTGTAAGACCATTCTGTCCCTGACCTACTTGAAATACCTGTTGGAATATCCACTTTAAGATCCTCTTGCAGGAAGCCATTAACCCGAGTCAGTCCATGCTGTGCTTCCTCATTAAGTGCCAGCTTCTGCTCCAGAAGTCTCTCCTGATCAAGCTTTATCTGATCAAGAAGGCTATCTAGTACCTTCTCCTCAGCAGCCTTTTGTCTATCAATATGGTTAGCAATTTCAGCTATTGCTTTATCACAGCTTTCTTCATTTTTCTGAAAACAAAACACCAACAAAACCCACCAAGTTAACAGGAAAGATAAGGTTGTGGCCTCTTTTCTAAGCTGTGTTACATGATTACTGACATGACCTGAAACGAAACAACTGAGACACCTCAAATTGAGAAGTTTCAGAGCCAGTTTTAAACTCTCATTTTGAGAACTATCTTCAGAAGAGAATCAGTTTCTTAGAAAGTATGATCATTTTAGAAAGCTACTCATAAAGATGATGCCATCTGGTTCAGATCCCACTCCTCATGTTTCTGTGCACAACCCTACACAGAATTAGGATATTAAAATGAAAATCCTACAAGCACTAGAATCTTTATGCATTTGTAGGGGAAAAGAAGGAGAACATGTATTTTTAGCCATTCCCATTGGAATGGAGCTCCTGAAGTGTTCAGTAGGTGTAACAGATACAGGTGTGTCTTCAGACTATAAATGCTTTTAACAGTTAATTTTTTTTTCTGAAACTTAACAAAAAGTTGGATTTGCTCATTTCATTACCTATTAGAACAATAAAACAAGTAGGGTGGGAAGTGAAGTTTGTGATGGGAATTAAAAAAATCAGAAACTGTCAGGTAGGAGGCCAGAACTAACAGATACCTTAAAGGAACAATTTCTCCCATAATGTTAATCCATCTGACCAATAAAGTCATTTGCATCCTCCAGAATACAGTCTGTATTTGATCACTGCGCAAACCTCCCAGGGACATCACTGGTAGATAAAGCTTCAGAATTACAGATATATACTACCAAAATGATGTAAAAAGCCCAAACTACAAATGAAATTCAGCTGCATGCGATTAATCAAGACACCATTTTTTAAGTTATTAGCACTTCAAGTTCAAAGTCTTCCTCTTAAATTAAACTTTTGATTTCCCCTAATTGCATCTATTTGAGTAACACAAGTCTGCTGTGATTGAAAACACACAGTTTTGTTCTGACTATAAGTGAGAACTTCTTTCCCTTACAAATTCTACTGTAGAAGTTTGTCTCAGAATATTGTATTAGATTATACATACCTTTTGTAAATACTGAAGTTGCTGTTTCTCATCATTGAGGAACAATAGGTGCCGACTGGTAAGGTCAACTATCTGAGCAGTTGTATGTTCACCCCATTTATCAGTATCCTGAGACACATTTTTGAGATTGCTGAGAAGTTGTTGACAGCGGTCAGTGGATTCTTCCAGCATCATCTTGTTTTCAGCATTTATTATCCTGAGCTCTTGAGAGAAATTATCCAGAGAAGCAATAAATTTACTGTGATTGGAAGTTGTACTGCTGACTAGGTCTGTTGTTTTCCTGCAACAACATATTTGTAAGAGATCAGAGATTTTGACACATTCTAAATTTTGAAATATTTGAGACGAGAACCAGTGAAGTAGTGCAGTTTTATCAAACCAGTTAATTATAATGTTTTTGCTCAATTTAGTAAACTCACAAATTGCAGCACTCGAAGCAGCAGGTTTGTTAAATCCCCTTAAAAAAACCCAACACACACACCACAAAAAAAAACCCCAAACACTAATTAAAAACCAACAACTTCAGCACGACCTTAGCATGCTGCAATAGATACACTATTATACTTCAAGCTAAGCCTTTATGGTATGAAGTTCTGAAGTCCAGCCATACTGAGAGCTGTTCATCAGCATACTGCTCCCAAAACCATGTTCTCTTGTCTTCAACATGCTCAAGAGACAGGTTTGAGGAAAAGCCTTGCAGAGCTACCTTTTACTCTGGGGAAAGGTGAACAATGATCTACATTCTGTAGCAGAACTCAACTCTACCGTACAGGTCTTGTCCAGAAGACTTTATAAGCACATAAGTATGAAGAGCATCTAATTTTATAGTCTTCTTCATACACACTTTTATCTTGCATCAGTATACACCAAAAGTAATCTGCTCCTTACAGGTGAACGTTTTCTTGCACAGCAGCGATGGTGGTCTTCAAGCTTCCATTTTTTGCGAGTACATTTGTTAAGTTCTTCTGAGTCTCCTGAGCAAACAAGTCAAGCTGGCTTTGCAGTGATGACATTAATTCAGCTGCGCTCTATTAAAAACAATCATACATTTCATTGTTAATCTGCACTTTTTAACATTCTTAAAGGGTACTTGAATTATTTTATTATCAATGAAGCAAATAAGAGCTTCATCACTCTGAAGCTGAAAGTACAATTTTTGTATAGAGAAGATATAGGCACTTTGCTTTTGGAGATATATGTCAACGCATATATACTGGACGTGCTCAGATCAAGGATCAATTTTTTTCATTACCTTCCTACATAAGCTTCTTAAAGTCGCCCAACAAAGGCTGAAAAGAATTATGATCATCAAGTTATCATCCTAACATTTCTTCTGAAGCAAGTACAAGTTCTTACTCCTACAAAGAGTTTAAATCGAAGCAAGCAATCACACTCAGTGTTAGGATTTCTTCTTACTCTAAGGATACCTTTGTATGTGCCAACCTCGTCATTTCCACTTCTTCTTTTAAATTGTCACAGTCATTCTGAAGCTGAGCAAAAACACTGGTTGTTTCTTCCTGTAATTTTTTCAGATTGAGAGAAAGATCTCCAAAGAAGGTATCCATTTCCTTTTTATGACCCTCCATCTTGAAAAAAAGTTTTAATTAGTTAGATATTTGTCTTTAGGTAAGAACTGCATACTTTTCCCTAGCATAATTTATATAGAAAGAAACTCTACCCCCAAGGAAATTGTCAAAGGCACTAATAAAGTATTGTGCATAAAAGGTGGAAAACAACATTTAGAGCAACCTGAAGTTACAGACTGCAACTTGGTGTGGGCTTTTCCAAACACAAAATTCGGCATCTGAAGTAGACAAAATAGGAAGACACAGATAAGGTATTTGGTTAAGGCAAGAGCAAGCCAGAAGAGCTGGTCAGCCATGGACTATTTGCTGTCTAAGACTGAAAACCATTGAAAAGCCTTTTGACAAGGGGAGTTGATTACACACAAGTTGTAACTGACAGAAGGGGAAAATTTTTCAGTCAGTGCAACAGGTCACCAGGAACAAAGATTAGGTTTTGACAAAATGGAAAAAACAGTAATGAAAGAGTAAGGCTGCAGTTCTACATAAACGTGACAGCATAGACTAGAACTAAAAATTGAAGCAAAGGACTTTTTTTCTAATTGCAGTGTTACCTGCACTTATGGTTATTGTTAACAAGATAAAGCATCACATTCCCCAGGAATCAAAGTGACTATGGAAAAATTTTGGTATGACTGCAGGGGAAATTAGGAGTGATAATACTTTTCCAAGTTGGTTATTTTATATTTCTAAGATACAGGAGAGACTATATTAAGGATATTATCAAATATTTGTTACATATAGCTTTAAGTATCCACGTTTTACAATTCTTCTGTGGCATTCAGATGAGCAGTTCTGCCAATGCAAGTAACAAGCAATTACACCACACTCAGAAATGGAAAAGAAGTCTGAAAGAGCTAAAAGGTAGAACTGATGGGATAGAATAAAGAAGAAAAGGCCAGACCAGAAGTGGAAACACTGACACACTGCAGAAAAACCACCAAAGGGTTATCTGTAACTTAAATATAAGAGCACAGAGACAAGTTATGTGCATTACCTTGTCAGCCACAGCAGAATATTTCTTCATGTTACTCTGAAACTGACAGTTTAGCCCCAAGACAAATTCTACCATTGGTGTCAAGCTATTTAATGATCTTCCTAATCCAGATGTATGTTCCTCCTAGGAACAGTGGCAAAGAAAAAGAAAAAAGTAAAACAGGATATGACTGTTCATCTACATTTGGAAGAAGCTATCCATATACAAATCCATGTACTCTGTTATTACAGTATTTGCTATAAAGTACATTACAGCTTGCAGTGGTGACATGAGAGGGGAAGCAGGGAAGACAGGTAGAGAGCATCACAAAAAAACTATACAATATTTACAGAACTCCCTTTGATTGACAGAAGTTTCGTATATGCAAGTAACATAAGAGTATGTAAATTTACTAACAATTAATCTCAGCAGCTCAGCTTTACAATCAAGTGATAGATTCTCATGTTGTGTTATTTTTTCAGACACGTGAGAAACTTCAGTAGACACCAATTCTTTAACAGAGGCAAAAGAGGCTGATACAACTGATGCAAGAATATTAGCTGCTGAAGAACTGGCAGACAGGACGTCACCTACGAAAGAAACCAAGAAGTGTTACAACTTTTTTTAAATAAAGTTCCACTGTAAGATAGGAATTCTTTTTATTGCTCATCACCTTATTGCCTCTTACAGCACAGGAAGGCTGTTGATCATCCCAGATACATTATTGCTGGTGCAACTACAATAATTACATTACCTAAAATAAAGCCTCTTCTGCTTACTAAAACAGATCCATTTTAGGAAACGGTCTTTGGTACTACTGTTGCAAAAATTCAAGATGACTTACTGATACAGGTATTACACTTACCTATAAAATTTGTGTAAGATGTCAACATCTGTTGCTGCTTCAAACTGTTTTCACTAACTGAATCTTGAATTTTGTTGAACAAAGCATTCATTTGTCCTGCAAACGTATTTTGGATGATAGCATTGTGTTGATCTACAGCCTTCTTACGGTCCAGTTTTGCATGGAGACCAGATACATCTTTTGTAGTTTCTTCAACTGTACTAAGTAACTACAATTTTTGAAAGTTATTTTAGTCAGTCTTTAAACAAGAAAAGGAGAAGCAATGGAATTAAAAGGAGAAGTTATCTCCCTAGAAAGACAGGTCAAATTACATTGTCAAATTACATTTGTTCTTAATCCTGGTGTTATGTCATTTATAGTCTTAGAACACAGGAAAAAGTTACCTAGTAGAGACCATTTGTTCTTACTTTGAAATTAAGGCATTAATAAAGGACTCTACTCAGTATTTAAGGAATTAAGATATTTATCACAGAATAGTAATGGAAAAAAATTCCTGATCACTTCAACTTTTTTTGAAGGATATGACAGTAAATACATTCACCTCAAGCAAGAGGTTTCCAGTACTAGTTCTGCGATAAATAATTTAGAATTCGAGCATATTCTTGGTTCTGTAGTCAGCATAAATAATTTCTATACCCATTTCTCTCACACAAACACGCCACAACCCACATGTAAAAAACTAGGCATCCCCTCCCAACCTTACAGGAATCTGAGTAGAAAAGAATTTTCACATTGACTAAAGATAAAAGTTTCATCACTTTGCAGTTTAAATAACTGGACATCCTCTCCCCCCTCACATCAAGTCTTTTTCAATAATTATGACCAATTTACAAGCACATTAAAACCATACCCTAAAATATAGAGGTAACAGAGCACCAGTTGCCATTATTCACTTAGTGAGTGTAAATTACTGCACACGTGTCTGCAAAGCTTTTTGCTATTTTTCTACCCCAGTTATATATAACTTCGTCTTTTGCAGGGCCAGCCATAAGCTTCTAGTAAAGAAAACTACTTATTCTGCAAAAAACCTCCTGACAATAGATACTCCAAAGCACTGGAACTCTCATGACAAACGGGCCTGAAGATAAGGTAGCTCCAGACTAACCAGCATCTTTAGCAGTCAACTGTCAATACTACCCCATAGAAAGTCCTGCAATCTTAAGTAGCTTTTCATCATAATACAGTTTATAGAGCGCTAATCCATCTTAAATTCAGTTTTGTTGAAGTTGCATCATGCTTTAGCAACAATGATTTCCTTGAGCAGCCCACAAAACTCCTAAACATGGGAAGCTACTGTTACAGTTAGGTGCAAGAACCACGACAACCTTGGTAGCTGTGCCATGAAGTTTTTGTTCGGTGTTTTCCAAAACTGAAACCACATATTCTTCTTCAGCCAGATGAACTCTGGTTTTTTGCAGATCTTTCTGTGTTTCTTCCAGTTCTTTCTCCTTGATTTTCAGATCTGTTTTACACTGCTCAAGTTCATTTTTACTAACTGTGAATAGTTCAGTGATCTAAAGTGGAAGACAAACAAATAGGACAACAGTGCTTTTTATAAGTTCAACAGTCCCACTTTACATCTCTCAAATTATGCCACAAAACAAAAAAGCAAGTTGTCATTTACCAATGTAGTTTCACCTATAAGGCTCAGAGGTCTTAAGCCTAGACTATAGATACATATAGTCTCTGTATTCACTGAATATATCACAAATCAACACCATTTTCTCTGTAATGATCCATTGCTTCCCCACTCAAACCACAAGACCAAACAATTATAGCACAAGAAAAAAATCCCACTAAACAAACCTAAGCAAACAGAATGAAGAAGAGTCAGTAAAGCTGATTGCACAGAGTGGTTACATATTCCAGCAAATTAATATATGCATTTCTTTTAAAGAGAAAGCTCCCGTTTTCTGTGTAATTTGTTAATGGGAGCTCATCACCTTCTCCTCTCTCTCCCCCCATTCGTTGCCTCTAAGCAGATATCTGTCAACTGAGAAGATACCATTTTGCAAGAAGAATATTGCCAAAAACCTAGCAAAGCAAATTAAAGGTAAAGCGGTAGACATTAAAACAGCTTTAAAAAAAATATATATTGCATCCTGCAACTTCATATATATTTCAACTTCTTAACTTCAAGGATTACAAAGCTTCTGCTCTTGAATAATTAGGGAACTTTAAGAACAAAAACTCTTCAGACTGTTCTTTGTTCAAACTTTTTTCCTCCTTCCCCAAAGGCTTCTTCAGTTGTTTTTTTTTTTTTTAGCAGATTTAAGGCAGAGTTGAGAAATGTCACTTACTCTTTTCACTTCTTCCTCCATGACACCGATTTTGTCAATGTACTCTGCAATTTGTTCTTCCTGAACTGTCAGCTTTCCATTAAGGGCTCTCAAGCAAGCATTAAAACAAACAAAAAAGTCAAGAACTGATTTCAAGATTATCTACTGTTTTTTATATTACATACTCAGTAATTTTTAAAAATAAGTATTGTTAACTTCTGTATGGAAAGCAAGTAATTATCACTTAATGCAGAAAGGATTTAAGATAATTTTCTATTGTAAACTTTCTGCATAAACTAGCCCTCTTACAAAGTGAAGTAAACTATATAATTTTTTCTCCTATATGAACTTCCACTGAAAGGAAGGCTGCATGGTGTAAATCTGCATCCCTGCTATGCTAATGGTAAGTTCCACATATAAATAAGATCCGCAGTGCAAACCTACTCTTTAGACTTCTATTTGTGTAATAATTAATTTCTAAAGAACAAGTGGACAAGTCAGTTATATTCTTCTGACTATCTTCAATTTTCTGGTGTGAAAATAGATCTGAATGCATTTATGTATAAGTACAAGTATCTGAGATTTGTTGTAAGTCATTTTATACAAATTTTGAAGACATACTCATAGTTTTCAAGGGAAATATAGACTCCATTTTTTTCTCGTGCAGCTGCAAGGTCTCGCTTCAGACGTTCAATCTCTTCAGTATATTCCTGCATAAACAAATAAATCACACGTAAACCTGAAAATTTCTACTTTGCTTTCAAGGTTTAGCTTCAAGATACTTAACAAAGATAATGGAAGTTTTGCATAAGCACAGGAGCAAAATACTTAATTTCTGTTCCAAATAAGTTCAGTATAGCACCTTTTAAATTCGTACCATTGGATACACATAGAACACTGAGACCTTCCATTTGAATCGTACTTGGTTGCATATACCAACTTACAAGGGGAATTGCAGTTTCTTTAGTAGCAGTCAGCTACCTTATGCGGAGCCGCGGAGGAACGACACGCCGAGACGGATTCAACGTGGGTGACAGAGCATCATATATCGTATCATATCCCTTTATTGGTCTAGGGTACATATATTTATACAGACAATGCTAATTATTATGCCTACTAGTCACTAGCTGATTGGCTTAAGCTCTAAAGGTCGTATTCGCACGGTCCACCTACTTGCAGTTAGCTTACAGCACAAGCTTCTCATAACACTAAGTTTCTCATGCCACTATTTCTAATTCCTCTTAACTTGTTTTCGACACACCATGGTACACAAGGCCGAAGCGTCCTTGACATTCTTCATGTATCAGCAGCTGCGAGCAGCTGCAGGCAAACCCTAGTGAGGCCCAGCATCAGCGAGGCCCAGCATCAGCCCCTAGAACAGGCTCTGATCGTACAACTGCTCGGTGGGCTCATGACCCTTGTCTCTGAGCCATTCTCCAACAACCTTACATTGCCTCTTCATTCATACTGACAAGTTCACTTCAACTCAGACAGTTTTGAGGGAATGAATATGCTAATACAGCAGCTAATAGTGCTAATAGTGTCATTTAGTGGTTCTCCACTAACTTGTCAACAGGTAATCCATATACACAGTCATACTTAGTAGCAATAGCCCTCTCTATCCAGCTTTAGTCTTTGCAGATACTGCAACTGTTGCTAAGTGACTAATGCTGTACCAGTAGAGCAGCTTAGTTTGAAAGCTTCAATTCAGTGATTAAAATCACCTCAGAAAAGCACTGCTACTAGTTATAGCTTCTCCACAACTTAGTAATTACTCCATAGCAAAAAGTATGTTAACAGAATCAAACCTAGCATAAGACATATGTCTAGCTTACCTTAATAAGAGCTTTTTTTGTTAGCTTCTGATTAATTTCAGGCTTGTTCATGATGTTCTTTGCTCTGTGGGCATATTCCAGAGTACTCAATGTTTCCTACAATAAACAGATGTAACACTAGGTTAAGCTGATGAGGTAACTCATATTTTGTATCATTAGCAAAAATAGTATCTATTTTTGGAATAGATTTTCAGACTTAAATTTACCTCAAGATTTATAGATGCAGGAGAAACTGTGGCAATTATTGATGTTTTTGTTCGTCCCCCAAGAGAGTCTTGAAGGATTCTTGTGAGTTTAGATTCCCTGTAGGGAATATGTGGCGCTCTTTCTACGAGAGCAGTAATAACTCTTCCTAGTGTCAGAAGAGACTGGTTGATATTTCCAGCTTCACGAGCTCTTTTGTCAACTGCACCAGATCGACCAATGTTTTCACTTCCTGCAAGATCAACCTGAAAGATAAGAGGAAAGACATGCTTCTGTCTCAAATCACCCTGAAGAACACTTGCCCCATAATATTGTAGAACACAACACACCAACTAGTTTATGATAGTTCGGGAGACATCGGGGTGTCAAATGGGACAGACTTTTCTCAGAGTGACAAATATAGTTCATATCACTTTATGAAAAGCGATAATTTTTACTTTTATCAGGAAAAAAAAATAAAATCTTAGATTCTCAAGAGAATGAGGTTGGATTATTCTAGCTCATTACCTTAAGAATGTCATCAGTGAAATTCAGTTCAAATACTTACCAAGTTTAACTTTCCAATTTTGACAAGTTCTTCTCCATCTACTGTTGTTTCTTTCATATGGATGGTAATAGAAAACACAGAGTGGGAACGGCTGTAAAAGAATTCAGATTCAGGCAGAAATCCCACTGAAGCCAAATAATCTGCTTGCTACATGACACTGCTGCAAGTTAGGTATCCATGCTCTTTTTAGGGAATACATTTTGCCCATTAATTGGGACTTGCATGTTTTCAACACACAAAGTTATTCTACCAAGTATATTTTTGGGTGCCTTCATTATGAATGTGATACTAGACAACATTTGCCTCATTCAATTCTGGTAAATTTTATCTTGTTTCAAGCAAAACCAAGAGAAACACTTCGTTTTTGTTTACATTTGTGTGTTCTCAACTCACAGAAGAAAACTGGGTTGTATATTTTTTTAAGTTAATACACTAAAAACAGTTTTACAGAATGTGATATTAAGAAATATAGTTTTCTTCAGGCTAAGAAAATCAGCAAGTAGCTGAATCCAATACTGAAAAATTAGAAGCTAAATTCAATTCTCATTCAAATAATAGTACAGTTTAAAATTATTTTAGTTTGAGCTTATTCCTTCAATAAGTTTTTACAATAGGAAGCTGACATATACAGAAATCCATTGACATCAAATTACACCAGTTCGATCATGCATAAAAACAACAGTTCAGAGAGAATGAATTCTCTAAATTCCTTGTACTTTCAGATTAAATTAGTTGTGTTCTAATCTGCAGTAGCCAAATACCCATTCCCCTGCACCAGCAGACAGATGTACTCAGTATATCTTTAATATAAAATGATATGAGCAGGGTGTTCCTTGCTTATTGCAACACTGAATCACTACTCATTCAGTGACACAGATATTACATCTGCAGTTTAAGAATAAGAAATCTGTAAGAAACAATATTTTTGATTAGGGTGTCTCTACTGGCTTCTGACTATGAGCTGCAATCATATTACGTAGCCTGCAATGACATGCAAAAAACCCCCTCAACCTTATCCTCAACTTCCACACCCCTGTTTGCAAGTTTTCAGAAGCTGGGGTTTAAAAAGAAGGTCATGTGTTGACGTGTGAAAAACAGATCTTAGAAATATTTTGAAATTCCAGCTTCAGTAACAAACGCTAATACACCATTTTCTACTGCTGGTGAGGAGAGAAAAGGATATTTGAGACTCTCACACCATGTTTTTATTTAGTAAACACAACAGGCACTAAACCAAACCACACATAGCTAGCACAAAGACAACCCACCTCTCTCACAGAGGTATATAAGCTAAACATCTTCCAAATATGAAAGGACTACAACCTTTTTGAATACGTACTATATCTGCTGCAGGGAATATTTATCTAATACTAGCGCATACAACATCTTTCAGCTACGTATCTGTCAGACATCTGTCTTCTGTTTCCATAGGCATGGAAAGATTTGAAAAGATGAACTTCCTAACTTTGAGTTATAAATATATTTCAGTATTCTAGATGTCAGATTAAGAACATTCTGCTACATCCCACAGGATGTGATAAGGAAGAAGTTCTAACTATGGCTTTCTAACCCACATTTGGCATTCTGAACAGCAATATGCAATATACAATCTTAAGATCATGCCAGGTTCCCTCTAGCTTCAACATATTCTACTTCTTTGGTAAGATACTGTTTAATGAAACAGGAACAAAACAAAGTTTATAAAATGGGGAAAATTTGTACCTGGAATATGCATTCATGTAAGTAGCTGCAGTTGTTCTTTTTGCTGCACCCCTTTCCAGGATTTGGTAGACTTCATTTTTGTTGTGTACAGTTATTTCTTCCAAGCCTTTAATAATTACACCCCTCTGTTAGAAAATAATGCATGCTTGTTATACATCTCAACAATCCTGAAAGCCTTAAGATGACAAATTTTGAAAGACAGCACTAACCTTGTTTCGAGGGTCATCAAACATCTGCAATCTTTCTCCAACATCAGGAGTAGGATTCAGAAGATCAAATAGCTCCTCATTATATATTTCCAAAAGAGAGACTTTCACTGAAAATTCTGTACCATTCTCTGTGAGTTTTTCAAATATTTGATGCAATGTACGGGGTATTATACCTGCTAGTGGATCCTATAAATTAAAGTGAAGTATTTAATACACAGATTCATTTAAATAGATTGAGAGTTTCAGCTAAATAGTTGATTTGACATAAGCAATAATACCTTGGACAAAGATCATCTTTCATATAAAGATGGAAGATTTGCATGTGTGCATTGAAGATGTAAAGTTTTGATTTTCATATAAATGAATGAGACCATTTGTTAATTTACAAACATCTAAGGAAAGTCAGCTTCAGTATTTGAAAAGGTATCAACTTTAGGTTTTCTTCAGTCTTCTGCAATTTCTAACTTTGAACTATAGTACAGACAATAGAAGTCTCAGGAGTGAAAATATACCTCTTCCCAAGTATACTCCTCATTGGGTGACCGCTCCCCTTCCATTGTGAAGGTCTTACCAGTACCAGTTTGGCCATAACTGTGAGAATGAAAAATTAAAATGTAACGAAAAAAACAATATTCGAATAAAATTTCCTAATAATAATTACTGGCTTACTTACGCAAACACTGTACAGTTGTAGCCCGTAATAACTTCATCCAAAATGGGACACACAACACTCCGGTATACATCAATCTGCTTTGCCTGAGCTCCAAAAACCTGTTGAAGCAAAGACAACACATCCCATTTATACATAATGTATAACCAGACCATATTAGAGAAATATATTAGCTTGTTTCTAGAAGTCCCCAACTTGACAAGGAGTTACCATATCAAATGTGTAAGTCTTTCTCGATGTCTTATCTGTCACTCCACCAGTGCGGACACTAACTTCCTTTCTTGCTTGATCACAGTCTACAACAGCATAGGAGTTTCCTTTACGTTCTGAGGCATTAAAAGGCCTAAAAAGACAGGAGTTCAGAATATTGGATTGATATAACTACTAAGAATATAAGCTGACAAAGCAGTGATATTACTCCAGTTTAAGGATCCAGAATAGTTCACTTGCAGAGAGGTGGAAGGTTAAACATAATAAACAGTTTTATAAATAAGAGTCTTCAAGAAAGGAAGAACTTATACGTGAAAGTTAAGGCAATAGTGTATCAAACTAATTAACTTTAAAAATTTCCTTTCCTTATTTTTCATTTACACAAGCAACGAAGCCTACCTCTTGCACTGATGACACTATACTAAAACACCAGAAATACTAATAGAACCTATGAATAGCAGAACAGTAGACAGCAATATCAGAGCCTTTATAATGCTGATGTATTTGAACAGAGTTTGTGACTTGCGAACAGAATTTCATAAAAGAGATAAAACATTGAATTTTTGGGGAAAAAGGTCTGCGGAGCCGCAGAGGAACTACACGCCGAGACAGATTCAATGTGGGTGATAGAGCATCATATACCGTATGTATATATTTATTGGTCCAGGGTACATATATTTATACAGACAATGCTAATTATTATGCCTACTAGTCACTAGCTGATTAGCTTAAGCTCTAAAGGTCGTATTCGCACGGTCTACCTACTTGCAGTTAGCTAACAGCACAAGCTTCTCATAACACTAAGTTTCTCATGCCACTATTTCTAATTCCTCTTAACCTGTTTTTGACACACCATGGTACACAAGGCCGAAGCGTCCTTGACATTCTTCATGTATCAGCAGCTGCGAGCAGCTGCAGGCAAACCCTAGTGAGGCCCAGCATCAGCCCCTAGAACAGGCTCTGATCGTACAACTGCTCGGTGGGCTCATGACCCTTGTCTCTGAGCCATTCTCCCAACAAAGGTCCACATACCTTTTCACTCTGATTGAATTTTAAGTAAAGTTTAATACAGGTGCAATAAAAGCTTAGAAACTTGACAGTGAGCATTTTGTTTCACCACTAAGCTAAACCTGATGCACACAATTTTCCTTGAAGGAATGTTTGTAATAATTTCTCTCAAAAAGAATGGAAATGACCATGGGCTGAAAACTAAAAGAATGAAATCCTATTTTATTACTTATTTAGTAGTGCTACTGCATTGAATGTCCACGCTACTTATGTAGTTGACCTGAACAGTCAGCTTAAAAATAGAACTTCTACAACCTTAGCAAACTTATAACATCTTGACAGTAGAGGCACTTCAGATGCTGTATCTTTAAATGATAATGTAATAAGGGAAAAAAAAATAAAAAGATACAAGTACATGTCATATCTAGTTTCCTGACTTGTGGCTAACATTTATTCCTCAACATAGCACTGAGGATGAAGTGTTAGATTCTAAACAGACCACTAGACACTTTGGTGCAAGACTGACTGGTGACAACAGATGATCACCAAAATCTTGTTCCCGGGGGCAAGTTACAGCTTCGGTTTTATGACTTTAAAATAGTAGAAGGTTGAGCAATTAATATGTTCTGCTCTGTAGCGATGTAACAGTGAACCAGTCAAATGCAGAAGCCTTAATGGTACGATAGCCCACAACTGTGAGATTAGAGGAATAGTTCAGCTAGGCTGGAGCATACCTGCAGATCATCACTATGTGCCACCAGACAAGCAACAACCTAGTATGCCATGGTGACATTTGATCACAGGTTCATTCCCTTAGGTATGAACCACATTAACATTTATATTAACAATGCTAATGCATGCATTTTGAGTGTCCAAATTAATGTTTTACAAATGCATAGTGAATGTGTTGCTTAATTTGCTTCTAAAACCTGGCGTGTCTGAGCTTTAAGACAACTGGATCTATCTACATATCTGTAAGATAAGTAGAACCTGACTGATGCATTAGAAAGGAAAAGCGGAAGGAACATTTACTAGCTCAAACACACTGAAGCTCTATTAAAAAAGCTGTACAAGCAAGAACATGCTAGAAAGTTTTAGGGGTTAGTACTTGGTCTAGGAGTTGCAACAAAAGCAAGACACTACACCATAGACAATCCTGATGCTATTGTCATATTGAACACTATATTTAATTAAAATATACAGATACTTAGCGAAGTTATTCCAGAATAATTGAGACTAATCAGATGAAAAAGGAAGTGATTGAGAGTGTTTCAAACTCAATTGCTTCGATAAAGTCATTCTTCTTTTGCAATAGCCTTGATTTATATCAACAATTTCACCAATCCCCTAGCATTTGTTTCAGCAGCTTTTTAATTGTGTTGCAAAAAGAAGAGAAAAATCACTTAAAATTTTTATTTTCGTTGTGCATCTACAAAAGTAGAACTTGCAAGCATGAGGATATAGTGAAGGCAAAAAGGCATTATTAACAATAATATGTAAGCTAACATTTGCAGTTCTGACTCAAAAGAAGCTTCCAAAGGTATGTTGAACACCATTCTTAACCCATTAGCAGCATTACAGTTTTAAAAAGAAACACTTTTGGGAACATCTGACATCTGGCAAGTGAGCAAGTCTTTAAAGTCACCTCAAAATTACAAAAAGAACCCAATTTTATGTTACATGAAGTTTGCCATATCATACCAAAAAATAAATTAATCTCATCAACTAAGGTCATTATTACTTAAGAAGTTGAACCCCATAATTTTTCATCTGAATTCAGAGTCTGTATCACCAAATGCATGCGAAAGATATACGAAAGCGGGTGTTGCAAAAATTTTATTAGCTGTTAAATCGTAGTAGTTTCCCACAGATGCTCAAAGAAGATAAAAATTCAGACTATTTTTTTGTGTGTCTTGAACATCAGTCATACTCTCATTTAGCTCTTCTTAATCTTCCTACATAGCTTCATACTGGGTGTGCACTGAATCAAGTCAGGAAATTGCAACTTTGTGCTTTTTTAAATTGCAGGGGATTATTCACGGCAGCGTTAATTTTGCGGCAGTGCCGATTATCTCCGCCGGCTACAGGGCTCCGCCACACAGCGCGGACAGTCAATGCCCCGGACAGGCATTACAAAGCGCAGCAACGAGAGCCGGTGGGAGGTAATGGCGGACTCTTTGAAAGCGATATATCCGGAGACCTCACGTAGCTCTTTCCCCGAGGCCGTTGGGCAGAACCGCGGGCTGCACAGCCCCGGCAGCCCCCCTCGGCCCGCCCGGCGCTCCATGGGACGCCGCGGCAAACACTTCAGGCCGAAGTCCCCGGGGGAACTACGAGAAGGGGCTGCACCAGCACCCCGCGGGCCGACCTCCAACGCTCGCCCAGGGCGGGGGGAACCGCCGCACCTACCTGCACCGCACCACCACCTGGATATTCTTGCCCTTCTCCTCCTTCCTAACGCCGCCGCCGCCCCCGCAACCGCCGCCCTGGGAGCTGAGAGAAGCCATGGCGGGCCTCGGCGCGAGCCGGGGTGCGCGGTCCGTGCTGCTGCGAGGTGACCGGGACTCGGGCCAACCGCCCGCTGCTCACCTCGGCCCGGGGGCGCGCGCACGCTCCGGCGCCGATTTTGAACCGCGCACCTCCCCCCTGGGCCGGCCAATCAGCGGGAGCCCGCGGGGCACCATGGGACCGATGTTCAAATTTTGGTGGTGACGCAAGGCCGTGACGGAAGCGGGCGGTCTCACCCCGGTCCCGCCGCGAGCGCGGTGTGTGCTGGGGGTGGTAGTGCCCAGTCGGGCGCGGTCACGTGACCGAGCGACGACGGGCCCCGCCGCGGGCGTCACGGCAGTGCGAGGAAGCGAATTCGGCCGGGCGGGTCGCGGGGTGACGGCTCCCGCCGCAATGGACGCCGCGTTTCCGTTACAGCGTCTGAGCTGGTCCGCTAAGGTCCGCGCCGACCGCACCGCTGTGACGTTTTACCTGATGTCAATCTCCAACCTGCCGGGCAGCTGGTGGGTTTTTTTTTGGCCGCCCTACCGCGCATGCGCACGGCAGCGTGCAGGCCTCTGCAGCTGCCGCTGAGCCGCCGTGCGTCTGAGGGCTTCCGAACTTCCCGCCTCAGTTACCGACCTTGGAGATTCACATCACCCGTGTAATCCTCCCTCGCAGGCCAAGTCCTCTGGCCATTCATTCTTCTCCTCCCGCTGGCTCTCCAGTTTGTCCACGTTTTCTTTAAAAGTCGCATTCAAAATTAGAGAACACCTGACTGATGACTAGTGGAGTGCAAGCATTACCTTGACTGTTTAAAAAAAAAAACAAAATCAAACATTTTTATTTATGCAGCAGGGCACAGCGTTCCCAGCAGGACACCCTGCTGCCCCCTTGGTCGGTGATGCCCTGTTGCCTTGCATTTGCTGAACTGCCTGGCCAGGTGGTTTCCATTCCTCTGCACTGGCCCTGCCTGCCTCTGGTCCCCCTGCGCAGTTGGACTCCGGTGCAATTCATCAACAACCCTCTGAATTCTACACCTAACTCTGCGTGTTTACAGGCTGGTAAAGCCTAAAGATACTCATACACTTAAATACAAACTGAGTAACAGGGAGCTAGCATTTCACAAGCAATAAACACAAGAAAAAAGAAACAAAAATACTTCGGATAGCCTTAACAGTGGGAGAATGACCTTTAAGAACGCATGTACATCATCTGTGACAAATCTGTTTTATTTTTTTTTAAAGAGAGACAAAAGCATTACACAAATAAATTATGCAATAATACACACAACTGCCAGTGTAACAACCAGTAGAGATTACTAATTCCCATTTATCAATCAAAAAGGACAATTTTTCACTAAGGCTTGACAACAAGAAGTCATCAGTACTATAGTGATATTCATAGACAACGCATGTCTCCAAAAAAAAAAAAAAAATCAGTGTTTTCCTAGGATTTATATCATATCATCTGGGTAATTACAGGTATGGAGACCTGACAATTAATAAATTGTTGACAATAAACATGGATAGCTAAGAATTAAGTAAGCTTATAACAATGGAGAGATATAATTAATACAAATTACAAGTTTGGGTGAGACTTCCTCAAGGCTTAGTAACACCTGTTTTGATACCAACACTCTACACAGTGTATAACCTGTATTGAACATGTGGAGAGTTGATTATTGTTTAATATTATCAGTGAAACAGGAAGAATTTGCTGATTAATTGTATATTCACATTAAAGGGGAAATAACCTGCACCTCAGATAAACATAAAGCAATTTCTCGCTTTTGAACAGCCTGTCCAGTTGGCCAGTAACATTCTAAACTCTGTGTTGTCCACACACAGAAAGTTAAAACAGTAAGAACGTACACACACACACCGTACTGGTATATTCTCAGCTGAGGATAGGGTTCACCTTCAGTCAAAGTAACAAGATAATTCCTTCACTGTTAAAACCGAAAGATACAATGCAGCAACTACCTTATTGTTAAAAAATAAGGACTCAGTGCATATATATGTTTAAAACCAGAATTGGTTTCAACAGGGAAAACAAACACAATAAAGGATCTCTTTTTTCTATGTGTGCCAGATCACTGTCTGACACAGACAGTACCACTTTTACATCTTTTTATAGTTATAGTCACCATAATAAAAAAGAAACACCACATGTAGAGGGGTGTATGCATTTGTGTCATTAGCTCACAGTAAATAATTTTCCATACGCTTACCTATTTTCAGTTCAGGCATGCAGCTGGATGACATCCTTTACATAAAAAGAAAAGAAACAATGAATGGGAAAATTGGAAACATATAGACTTTACAGGACACACTGAAGTCATCAGGAAACGTCTCCTTGGCTTCTCATTATACTTTGACTTTAATATTTTAAAATGTAAATAATTTCATATTTTTATATTAAAAGCAGTCAACAGGCATTCTTTTTTCATATATGCCTTGTCATGGAGTTGTCACTATTTATTTTGGAGTGGAAATAACAATCATAATATATGCTTTTTTCAGTCTGAGGCCAGTTTGTTACAAAGCCTTTTTATATACAATTACAATTTGAATTTAATCCAGAATTTTAGCTAAGTGGAAAAATATGCATCCATTAGAAGCATATCAAGACTGTACTTACAGTTTTACACTTGCTGCCTCTTAGGTTTCAAGAGAAATATAAAATACTGGTTTTACTCTAAAGTATTTGTAACCCTGCCTACTTTGAGGATTGCTTGCCCTGCACTGTAATATCACATGTCCTGAGGAGGAATCTCCACACTGTTACTCCCTTTCTTCATGTAAATTTTTGAATAATTTCCACACTTACTCTAAATCATACTTAAGTGCATTTGATTGTTTGGACAACACCTACTTTTGCGCTGGGGCAGATGAAGAAGGCAGGATTGAAAGCATCAATTGTCTATGAGCAATTAATGTTTAATGGGGAAGAAATCTTAGTTGCTGGACTACCCTGAGAAAGGAATTGTACTGACAGTCCTCTTTATTTTTGCTGATGGTGTCATATTGAAAATATCTTTAAAACATGGAAAAGATTTCCAAAATAGTGCAGGAGTGTAATTTTGGCTAGTATAAACTGAAAGAGAGAGGGGTTAGATTATAAAAACACAGTCTGCTCTGAATAAACGTCAGTGCCATTGAATAGCCACTAAATAAGTTTACAGGGGATAAAACAGGTGTAAAGTACAGTAGGTGTGACCTCTATTGCATACTTCTGCTGCCATAGTTACATTAGATACACAAGGAGCTGTAATCTTTCATCACCACAGCTACAGCAGCAGAAGTGCTTGCTTTAGATGCAACCATCAGCAGACCACCACAATTTTGCTGGTGCAGCTTTGGTTTCCCAGGATTGACCCCGTGTATATCCTAGGCAAGATCTATACGGAAAGGCAGGATTTATCAGAGCAACTATACATCAGGCCAGCATTAGCTAAATATAAACATTTGGCTACATTAGGCTCGAAAACTGTCAGGACCTGAAAAGGGAATAAACTGCCTGAAACCATGTACTTTCATAACTTTCACCCCTACATGACAACTGACACAACACACCCACAATTTGTGTTAACAATAAAGGCAGAAGCATTTCTACTATACATCCAATTTAAGAGAGTGACTCCAATTCACAACCTCTTAATCCTCCAGTTGCTTCCAAAAGGGAGGAGATAGATCACAAAGAGGTGCTCACCAGGCAGTGTGCTTTCTGCCAGACACAATGGTATTAACTTCTCCTGCCCTGACAATGGCAAAGGGGCTGAAGTAAGATTTAAGGTCTCACCATTTATCATGTCGCTTTCCCTCCAGCCTGGTCTTGACTTTTACATACACTGAGAAATGGAAAAAAATCAGACTGCGTCAAACTAGAATCCCATGAGGACAAAGATATCCTTCATTTTCACAGGAGTTAACATATTGTGTTAAAATTAGGCTCCCACACAGTTCTAAATCTAACCAGTTAATTTAGGTGAAAACTACCAACCGCCTTGCTTCTACCAGGATTAGTTAACTTGAGAGACAGTTCTGTGTCTAAACTGAGGCCAGAAGTGTGGGTGTACTTGATGTAGACATGAATGTTTTAAACTGGGTAGCTCAGGTAAGAGCACCTCTATAGCAGCACAGACCTCAGTAGAAGCCAGCAGCTGAACGTCTACTCAAATTTGCTGACAGATTTTGTTGACCATAGGGAGTAGCATGCTGCCACTTAAAACAGCTAATTTGACCAAAGCCGACTAGTTTCAAGCTACTTCCAATACATCTTCAGTCTCATATTTGGGTGCAGAAATAGCCTCAGCTAACTCGTCAGGTCACATCTTTCTACCTTTTTACGACTGGAGGGGGGTTTGGTGAACTTCCATCCGTAAGATACCACCTAAAATAAAATGCAAGCAGTGGCAATAAAAAGAAAAATCTCCCCACAAAACTTAATACATGGAGGTATAACAGAAGTCCGACTTTATCCAGCATTTACGCCTTGTAAACCCAGCGCAAGGAGAGTCCTGCGGGGCCGCGGTGCTGCTGACCCCCCGCGGCAGGCGAGTGGCGGGGAGAAGCGGGCTCCCGAAGGAGAACTCCCATGGGGGAAATTCTTTCCCCATGGGGAGGGAAGATTTGACGCCCGCTGCACTGGGAGATCTGAAATCTCTGCCGTTCAGGACGGCACCGCACCCACTGTACTCAAATTACGATGCGTCTAATTACCTTTTGTCTCGGCTTTTGCCTGCAGGGACGCGGAGCTCGGCCATCAGGAAGCGGGCGGGCCGCTCCCTCCGCGCCGGGCCGCAACACGGTCCCTTCGCGGGCGCAACCCAGCCCCGCGGCGGGGCCGCCCCGGTGCCCTTCCTGCCGCAGCCCCGTCACCCTCCCCCGGGCGCAGCTCCTCGGCCCCCCCTCCCGCCGCGACGAGTGTCGCCCCGGCTCCCCGCCCAGCCACCCACCCCCTCCGCCGCCTCCGCCTCCTCCCAGAGGCCCCCTGCCCCCTCCCCAGCCGCAGCCCCGGCCCTCCCGGCAGTAGAGCCAGCCTCCCGCACCCCCAGGTACGGGCTCCGCTAGGCCCGGCGCGGTGGCGGCGGCCCCGCCGGGCGAGGAGGGCGGACGGGACCCCGAGGGCGCCGGGGAGGGATTGGCCAGGCGGCGAGGGGAGGCGGGCGGAGAAGATGGCGCCGCCGGCGGCCGCGGCACTGAGGAGCGGCGTGTGCTGAGGCGAGCGGCGCCGGGCCGGGGCGGGCGGCAGCGGCGGGGAGAGGCCGGGTGCTGGCGGCGGGGCTGGGATATGCGGCAGCTTTCTATGCTGAGGTGGGCTCTGCTGGGCTTAGCGCGCCCCTGGGCCGCCCCGGCCTCCCGGTTTTCCCCTCGGTGCCGCCGGCGGAGCTTTCTCGGGTACGGTGCGGGTGCGGCGGGGGCCGGGGCGGGTGGGCCGGGGCAGGCCCCCGGGTCCCGGCACCATGTGGCGGGGCCGTGAGGTCGGATATCCGCTCCTGTCCCCCGCTCTGTTGTGTAAGAGGTGGCGGCGCGGCCGGGGCGGCAGCACCTTGTGCGGCCAGGGGGAGTGCTCGCCCTGCCCCCAGCGCGGCTTCACCCCCGGCTCTGTGGGGAGCCAGCGGACCTCAGGCTGCCGCCGCGGACACGCGGGGCTGGTGGCGAAGCCCTCTTCGGGAAGTGGCGGGGGAGCTGGGGGTGGCGGGCCCGGGTGTGCCGGGGAGGCCTGCGCCTTGCCCTGCCCGCCCCCGGCAGGGCCCGCCCGGCAGCGCCCGGTGTGCGGCGGGGCGGGCGGGCGTGTGTCCCCGGCTGCACCTCCCTTGTTAAAGCTGGCTTGGTCGTCGGCCGGACGGCTGTGGCGCGCCTTTAGGTGCCCGGTGGGCTTGCTTTGTTGGTTGTTTTCCCCTCTTCTCTCAAAAAACCGCCTAATTTTTATGTTGTTTAACTTGCCATGTCTTCCTAAGCCATAAATACAATTAAAAAAAAAAAGTTTTAATTCTTTAAAAAGAAACTGCTGTCACAGTTACCCAAAGTTGGTGGGAGCGGCCTCTTCGGTTTGTGACGAGCTGTCTAGTACTGCTGTTGTGTGGGTCTTGTTTTTGTGTGAGTGTGCGGTCGCAGTTCCAGTGGAGACGGTAAGTAACCTCGATGGAGGGAGGAGCGGGCGGGAGTCTTGGCACGACTCACCTCAGGGGCAAGTTAAACTGCGGAACAACTCGGCAAAGTTTTTCCAGGAAGGGGACTGGGTAAGGGAAGGAGGATAAGTTGTTTTCTTTCTTCGTTTTAACACTGTGTCTGTTATCTTAATAGCAAAACCTATATTTAGCACTGCAAAAGTAAGAGACGTCAAAAGTAGCATGCTTTGGGGAAAAAAAAAAGTTATGACTCATGCTGTCAATACTCGTGTGTCAAAATTTGGATGTACCGTTATTGTTCATAATTGCTATGTATGCTTCAGTATTGTAAAGGTAATCCACAATGTAAATTCGGAGCCAATGCTTCTCTCAGGTTGTAGTGTATCCTGCTAGATTGTTTCTCTTCAAGTATGTGAATATATGAAGTATTTCAACTTAACTTTATATATGAGAGTAGGCCTGCTGTGTTTTCATACTGCCTACAACCATGATGTAATCATGTTTATTTTTAATTGTGAATTAGGATTTACATAAATAATAATGAAATGAGAGTAGACATAGTGCATTCATGTGATGATTTTTGTTTTAAGATGGTGAACATGTGAAAATTAAGAATATTTTTTTTCAATTATGCGTTTCCTGTTTCCATTTCTGAAATTTTTTCATACTTTCACCTTTCTTTCAGCTTTAACTTTTTCTTCTCATATAATATTCAACCTTCATCAGCCTATCAAGTGGCAAGATGATTTCTCAGTTAGAACTTCTTATCTCCTCCTTTTCATCTCATTTACAGCATTGAAATTATTTATTCTAGTTGGGAAGTCCCTAGAAGGGTTCATATTTTTGTGTTTGCATGCTTTTTTGCTCCGTTTCTGTCTTCAGTCAGTTTAAGGCTGTGGCTTGATCCCTTAGATAAAATGTGACCTTTGGGAATTTATGAAAAGTATCAAGGTTATAACTTACTTTGCACATGAATACAGAAGTAGTTTCCTACCCTGCTAGGTCCAGAAGAAGAGGGAAGGGACAAAAATTGCATTACCTCCAGTGTTCCACTGAACTGGAAGGTGTTAGTCCCCCAGCAAGGGGTCATTGCAGGTTATTGTAGAAGTCATTTACTAAAAATACTGTCAGACTATTTGAGAGATCACATGTTGGGCTGATATTTTTGATATGTTAATTCTATTGTATTAGATGCTTTTATCATAATTTTGATATATTGATCTTTTAACAAGATAAGAATTAAAAAGTAACTAATAAAAATGTCTATAGAGGAAATTATTTAATCAGTTTTGTGTATAGTTATGTGTTTGTATATGCATGGTCTGTCAATGAGCATCTTTATATTCTCAGCTTTTATGAGGTCCATAAGTTGATAAAACATGCTTATGAGATAGCACTGTACATATGTAATAAGGTGATTTTTGTTGGAGTTTGTTTGAAAGTTGCTTCACTACAGCTTTCTGTTTAGATCTGACCTTCTGCAGTGTGATTTTTAGAATGAGTTTTAGAACTATAGCTTGCCTGAACAACTGAAATGAAAAAAAATGCTGTAGAGTTAAAAGTTTACTTAGTGTCAAGAGTAGAACTAGAACTGAATTGACCAAAATCAGTCATAAAAACTAAAACACAAAATAGGTAAACAGCTGGGACTTCTTTTGTTGAAACACACTGCTGACTCTTGTAAACTGCTTGTTGCTATAGATCTGTTGGTTATGTCAAAGGTCTAGTGTTAGATAAGCAATTGCTTTTAATGTGGGATTACAGTGCTTCTCATGATTCAGAATCCTAAAGTTCCTTCTGTTTTTGTTGTTAGATCAGATCTTGCCAGTTTTCTCATCTTTCTGTGTATTTCTTGTTGTTATGCAGTATAACTAAAGTTTTAGTCTCTCTTTTTTTTTTTTTAATTCATACCTCACAAGTTTTTCTTTTTGAGGGTATGAGACAGATGGTAGCATAAAGTGTTAAGTGAGTTGGCTTTACAAAGAGTCTCGGGCAATCTGATGTGCTACTTGCAGCTAAAATGTATGAAATACACATCAAAATACAGTTAGAATAAAGCACAGAGGTCTCCTGTAGCATCCAGTTTTACGTTCCCTGAGTGTGTGCAGGGCCATGTGCTCGACACCACTGCTGCACTGTGACTGTGGAACAAGCCCTGCAGCTGTCGTGTGGTGGAGGAAGAATGTCATAGAGGGAGGAAAAGAGAATAAGAACCACTGGCTTGCAAGTAACTCAATATATACAGTAATTAATTGAATTAGTGAGTACATTTCTGATGAAAATGTTAAAATACGCTTTCAAGCAGCTGATGGTGTAACATGGAAACTAGTCTTATCGAGTCTTGTTCTTAGCATGCAATTTGAGACTGATGAAAATAACAATACAAGCAAAAATACTATTCCAGATTTGTAAAATAATTCTGAAGATCCTATACCATCGTATTGTCTAAAGATTAAAACCAGATAAATTTACTGAAATTTAAAAAAGAACCTATCTTTCAAATAATGAAAGTCTTCAAAACCCTTTTGGAATTTGCCTAATCTTGTAAGATTGAAATCTTGTAAAAATCTTGTAAAACTTCAATCTTGTAAAAAATTGAAGCACATAAGTGCTAGGGAAGGGTAAGTTTTGATTGTTTTCTGTTTCTGGTGGACCTGGATAAAACTTGTTTACCCTGAAGGGTGTCTTTTGATTAATTGTTTGGAGCAATTTTTGAAGAGATAGGAAAAGTAAGCTTAAGTGATTTAGAAATTTTTAAAAACTTGTTATTCTTTATTGCTATATCTGAATTCAGATTGTATAAAATCCTGCTTTTTTGTTTGACTTTTTTGCCCAGTGCTTTGGAAGCTGTGAAATAATCAAGTTCAGGAATATAGTTTTAGAGCAGTAAATTAGCTTTATGGTGTCTTGATTGTATATCCCATCCTGGTTGACCAACACAGGGCTGTTGAAAGCAGACATCATTTTACTGCTGGGGCCTGATCTTACATGTGAAGCTACTAGGGTCCTTGTTTTTGCCAAGTTCACATGTGGTATTGTCTCATTAATGCTATTGTAATTCCTGTACACTGGTGTGTAAGACCAGTTGTGTTCAGTTCACGTTGACAGTGAAACCTGTGGCAGACCAAGTTTTACTGCTGTGATCTAGAGGCTGTAGAAGTTGGACTCTTTTGGGAATGAGAGCGAGGCAGGCACCTGCTCTGGCTACTGTATTAGGAGACAATTTTCTGAGTCAGTTACAGACTTGGCAAAAAGCTGCAGACTGAGATTCTGAAAATGCTTTGATTGTATCAAGACTTCAGAATTTCTTCAAAATGAACTACATAACAAAGCCTCATAAATATTCATCATCTTCAAACTTGCCTGATTTAGCATGATTAGTTGTTCTTAATAATTTGGTAGCACTGATTAAATCATTGTGGGTCTTTGTAGTTGGAGCTTTTGTGTATGAAGTATGCTAAATTCCTGACGAGTTTAAAAGTGATAAAACATGTTAACGTTTTGAGCAGTTTATCTACTTATGCAGTCTGTCTGCCTGTGTATGCAATAACATTTATTTAGATCAGCATCAGGAATGTGTTGAGATCTTATACGTTTTCCAGCTTTATGACAAGTAAATTCACAGAAGGATTGATGCTTTATGGATGTTGAATAATATGTACTGTTTTAATCACTAAATGTGTAAAAGAAGTATTGCTAGGTTTGTCTACTGATGAAGCTGTAAACTGAAAGAGTTATGGATA